GATGGATGGATGGATGGATGGATGGATGAGCAGGGCCAGCAGGCAGGTGAGACCTGCCTTTCCCTCTGCCTTCAGGGAAAAACCGGGACTGTCGCATTTGCACCGCTTAAACCTGTACTTCAGCCGGCCTTACAGCAAAAATCGGGTTTATTGCTGAATAACCCGTTTTGGCTTCTCTCCGACAGTGATGTGGGCAATAATTACATAGATATCGACTCCGATCCTACGAAATCTGTAACAAAAAGGCAGCTAATCTGAATGGGGTCAGGATTGGGCCCATAATCCCTGATTCTCTTTTAAACATCAGTCTAAACATCGGCAATGAGAATATGTGGGACAGGAGATTTTTTAAGTGGAAAAACTCACCGTCATTCATCATTAATTGAAAATTTAACAATTTTGAAAGTGGAAAAAGATATAACTCAATAGATACAATTACTACTAAACTTAATAAAGACAAATGATCACATGATTGACGCTCAGTGATATAAATGAATCGTTTATTGTTTGTACAAAAGGCCAAGTGTGCCAGATACTTGAAACAGCTCCTAAAATATCATTCACACTGTAACAATGTATTTTGTACATTTATGGTAGACTGAGTACATATCTAGATGTTAATTTGTCTTCTCCATGTCTGTTCTATAACTGCAATTTTGGTTAACCATAGCTTCTTAGAAAATGAGCTTGGATCCTCCTAAATACAGCCATAGAATCCAAGCAGCCTCGTAACAAAAATCAGAAAAGTTGGTACGTCCTAACCATGCAATTTAATTCGCTGTTTGACTTATTTTTATACCACTTTTCAGTATCACTCTGTGAAAACAAAAATTCTTATATTTGTGGTCTGAGATACGTGGGGTGGGACACAAGACCCAGGATGAAACCTCTGCTACACGACTAGCCCTTTATGAGGGTTTATGTCCCCTTGTTTATGTCTCAGGTGACCGCGTAACCCTGGGTCCTACGTGTCAATGCGGGAAAGGTGATTGGAAGCATTAGGTTGTCCAGAACGGAAATGTCAGGCTCAGTGCTCTCCACTTCGCTACCAAAACAGTGGGATGGAGGGGTGTGGGGGGAGAACCCTGAAATGCACACCATTTGGTGGTACTAGCATGAAAACGGAACAAAGGTGTGTGAAAGTCATGGTTCAGCTCCAGCTGGACTGGCCTGTTGGTTCGAAACTGTACCAGGTCGGGCACTTCGACCATATCCTCCTGCCTTGGAATGAGCCTTAGGCATATGGGCACCTCTGCACTCCTCTGAAATAAATCACCTCTGCAATGCAAACTGAAAAGTGTTTATCAACTTGAATTTCACCTGAACTTGCACCAAGTAGAGACCCTACAATAACAGAGATAATAATTTTCCTCCTGCTTCCCAAAGGGACCACACATCCCCAAAGACTCTTTTAACCGGACACTTCCTGCAGTTAAATTGAATCACGACTGATGCCTTCATATTTGGTGTACATTCAAAAAATGGCACAGAAACTAAAAAAAAAAAAAATCGTAACAACCTCAGAGCGGTTTACAATCTTCAAGTCAGCAAGGGCAATGGACAATGTGAGGTGTATGAGGTGGCACAAAGCTGAAGAGAAAAAGAGAGAATGAAGATGGATCCTTCTTTTTCAAGACAAGATAGGAGTGGATGAAGTATTGATACTTTAGTAAGGTAATACTGACATATCTGTCTATACGTAGGTACGCAGTTGCTTGGCAGCTTAGACATTTCGCCAACCTAATTGTCTCTGCTTTGCTAAGCTTCAAGGACACCGGCTCTCCAACACATTTTGCAGCAGTCAGCTTTCCACTTGTGCTTGGAAAAATGATAATGAACATGGGAAGTTCAAAGGGCAGTTTAACAAATCTCCAAAGCAACAGCACAGTGCTAGGATACTGCTGTAAGGCCTTCTGCTCTCCCGCCTCTGCCAGACAGATGTACTGTTCGGTATTAAAATAATTCTGCAGGACATTTAGGAACAGGGGTTGGGAAAACTAAGATTTCATCTTTCATTATATAAGGGAAATGAATTCTGCTCAAGGTAGGTGGCAACAAAAAATGCCTCCCTGTCTTGGGAAGGGGGAAGTTAAAAAAAAGCCGCAAAAAAAACCCCACCCAAAATTCCCTAACCAAAATTTGAAGTCAAAACTTCAAACTAATGGAAAAAACCCCCAAACCCCAATTTCTAACAGTGATTTCTCTGAGTAGGTTAGTATCCTGACACAGACCCACACACGCTACTCATACTCAGTTTAATCACTACATAAATGTCAGTCTACATTCTAACCTACTTTACATTAGACGAGTATCAATTTTTAAGGGAATATAAGAAGTTCTTATCAAGTGTTATGCACCTCCCTCCCAAACTGCGTGCACCTCTGTCTTCCCAGAACTCAACAGTATCCCTGAAGTCCTACAGTAATTTTAAAAAGAAAGAAATCCCCAGAATAATGCAAATATGATGTCCACCCACACTGAATCTACAAAAATGCAGAATGCTTTAGGACAGTAAAGAGTGGTTTCTACAAACTGAACTTCAGCCCCCCCAACCCCCCCCCCCAAAAAAAAAAAGTAGCCAATTTTCCTTTTTTGAGGGCAGGGGGAAGGAAACACGGGTAGGGAGGTGTGGAATGACAGAAGGGGCGATCTAATTGTGGTCAAACATTTTGCCCACACAGAAGTCCTAAAGGTGTGATTGACAATAACCTGTCAAAGACTGAGCCTACGCAACGTTAAGAACAAATGCTACTATTTAGCAGCAAATTGGTGACGTAGAAGAAAATGCTTGATAGCGTAGCCTGCATGTATGAGAACATAGCTTCTTGCTTTTAGAAGAGGAGAGGAAACAAAAATGCATAGGTCTGTTTTGAGTATTGACTTTTAATAGCTTGTTTCTCATAAGGGAACAGGGGATGTTTTGTTTTAGAAATACAGGTATCAGTTGAGCTTTAAATACAGCCTGCTCCTGCCAACAGGTCATGTACATGATTTATTTGGCTTCAGTTTTTGTTTTTATGCATTAAGCAACCTTCAACCTTCTTTTGTAACACAACATATAGACAAATTTGAGTACAGTAATAGTGTAGGTATTCTACTGTCTTCACATTTTCTTGACATACTGGACAAAGCAATACACATCAGTCTGCCCCCAAGCCCAAGTTTCACACAAAGTACGTTGAATACTGCTTTCAGTGGCAAACTCAACTTGCTCCCATGTTTAATTTCACAAATCTATGGAAACGGATCTTTTGGCAATATCAGGAATTATTTTGAACTTTGTCCAGTGACATTCAAATGCTCAGGCAACTACTGGTAACGTTCATTTTATGCTTACTTGCATACCGACAGGAAAAAGAAAGTTTTAGAACCAGACAAGCTATAGTAATCCAGGTTTTGGTAGAAGAATTATATACAAAAAGGGGACTTTTATATATAGTTTTCATTCTGTAGTTTCATTTTTCAAAATAAAACCTGTATATATAAATGGGTAACATTCAAGATCTGTATATGAATAACAGTTGCTTTCTGGCTAAAACAATATATTTAGACAGAATCTCACTTTCTGTTTTTCACTTCAAGCACGCTAGCCAGTCCAGTCCTTTGGGAAAAATAACTTCCATTTTTAAATCCTTTAGGATCCATCAGGTTCATTATATGGTAATGTCCTTAACTTATACAATATACTATATTATGAGGTGAACTGAAGGGGATTAGATATCGAAGTATTGGCCTGGGTGCAGTAAGCCAAACAGCTGTTTAAACATGATACTACAGCTGAAATAAGTCTCTGTCAGAATAAAAACCAACATTCATGACAACAGCAGCAGCCATCAAAAACATTCACAACTGCAGGGATTTTTTTACTGTGTGTAATTTTGCATTATAAGTAGGAGAAGCCACAATAGTTTAAAGCAAAATTTAAAAAAAAAATACGACTATAGTCTTGGATTTAATAATGTGAATTGTCACTCTTACAGCTGTTTATAGAAGTGTACTAAAAAAATTTACTTAAACATATGAATTTAAGACTTTCACTTTATTCAGCAAATTGGTTTATTTACACAATGGGGAACGCTGGTTGAATGCTGTCAATGTAATAAAAACAAATCTAACAGAGACAATACTGAACTCTCTATAGGTATTCATAGCAGAAATGACAAACTATTTCCTTACCTGTATCAGGAACATCAAGCGCAACAATGGGACAGTATCATAGGACACTGATTTAACAATAAACCACAGAGGTCCAGTAATACTATGGCAATTTACTCATGTATTTACTGACTTAAAAAAAAAAAATTAGAAGTCAGTAATACCCAGTAAAAAGTTCTGTCAATTATCAGAGTCAAACTCTGATGAGTAGGTCAGTAAAACCTTATCAGATCATCCACAATTCATAAAGTGACCTGATCTCCTTCAGACCACTAATACAGAAACAAAATTGATGAGAACAGATTACCCTCTAAAAGGCAATAATGATCTGATAAGGGTTTAACTTAATGGAAGTTTAAAAAAAAAAATTAAGAATTGCAGAGCACAGCCCCTATTAGAACAAGCTAACTTTCCAGACTTTCAAAAAAGACAAAAAAAAAATTGAGAGGAAAAAAAAAACCACTTCAACATGAAGCTACCATACAAAGTTTTTTTTTTGTTTGTTTTCCTTTTTTGTTGGTTTTTTGTTTCTTTTTTTCTTTTAAGAGTTCAGAGTTGCAATTTAATCCTGGCTTTTTAGTGAGAAGGACAGTTTTGGCCTAGACTTTCCTTTGCCCAGGATAATTTTTTGCTCTTCCTTTTGCTGACGTTGTCTCTCTTGTTCTAGTTTCATCCTCTCCTCATGAATCTTTCTTTGTTCTTCAACAATTTTCAATTGTTCTTCAGCCTATATATGAAAATGGTAGAATTTAGGCCAGCATATTTTGTAGTCATAAAAGCAATTTACAAGTCCATATTAACTGCCAAACAGGTCCAATCCTGCATAGGTATGCAAGCAGTTCTACCTGAGCTAGATGCCATATGAGTTGGTTTCAGTGAAACTATTTATAAAATGGTTATTTCAATTGAGTTTAGAAGAAACACTGAAAACTTTCTACAGCTAATGTATTGAAATCTTGAGTGCTTACACGCAATGTTTTTCAGCACTGCTTTGCAAACGACACAATTAAGGAAGTCAGTGTATACAGAAATTCCTGATACCTGTCACGTGTCAGATGAAGGCACAATATAAGGAAGGTACAGACCTTCAAACAGAGGTCTCCCCGCTCCAAAACCCATTCAAATTCAAAGCTATCTTTACTGGATTTGTAACAAGTCAATCCTTACAGCAGCTTATGGTTCTTACAGCTCTTCCAGTGATCTTCTAAAGGTGTTTTTTTGTCCATTATGTCAGTTATTATTTTACATTTGCTATTTGTCCCATTTCCACCATATGAGGTTGAGAAAAGCGGAAAACAGAAAGAGATCTAAAGCAGATGTAGTTCAAACAAACAGTTTTAAAAAGCATCATCTTTACCTGAAAAAGGTGTAATTACTTGGGTAATTGAAACTGATACAGTTCAATCAGGATTTAGAAGCAGCTTAGTTTGGCTTATCATTAATTGATTAGAATCAGCTAAATCATACTGAATGTTCTCATGAGGCAGGCACCTGCTTAAATAGGTGTGGAGACCAACATAAGCTAGACTTTTATAAATTAGACATCTTAAAGCTTATGCTGAAAGTCCCTCTCAACACTTGCACATCACCATTATGCCCGTCTCAATTCCAGTTTGTACTTGTCCTACTCAACAAAACAGAATTAGTCACTTCTGTTCCAGAAGCTGAACATGTTTGCAAACTTATTTCAACCTTCCCTGTGAGATACAGTTAAATAAGTACTTTTTAAATTCTGAAGGTAGCCGTCTTCTAAATTAACTGCACCTGAACTATTTTTTTCAGACTAGTGTTACTGCTAAGAATCTGGTCTCTTATGCTTAAGGGGAGGAGAGCAACACTACTGACACAACCGGCAAAAGACAAGCTAAACTCTAGAAAGTGTTGATTTGCGTATTTTAATTGTGTTGAAAATCAGGCAGAGGGACCTGTATTCCCCTACGGAATGGTTAGCTACACCTTCACGTACCAGTTTAGCTTGTGCTTCTGCAATTTTTCGATTATTCTCTTCTAGTATTCGCTCTAGTTCCTCACGCTTTGCACGCTCTTCTTCCTAAAGGGGAGGACAGGGCAAGATGTTAGTAAAGTAAAATATTAATTTCTGCATGTTCACTAATCTTTCTCAGAATTCTTTTGTGAACTGACTTAAAGTGGCAGCTTTACAGCCACCTATTTTGTCTCACAACGGTAAACTGTGCAGCCACTAAAACTGGTTTCTAGTACTCAATTTAAATCATCCCGCCCAGTCCAAACAGCAACCAACTAAACCCTCCCTAATCATAGAATCCTGACAATTTATTACTAGAATTTTAATATCACACAAATCAACAAGGACAACTACAAAAACTGGATAGTATTTACCAAATTAAAAAGTAATATAGAAAATATAAATAAAGTGAATAGTTTGTCTCACCAATTAAGTATACCTACGTATTCTTTACCTATACTCCTTTAATCAGCATTAAAAGTTGAATATTTACTGTCTTGTCCAGTGTCCTGCAGAGTGTGCTCCTCGGCTGCCATACGCGCCAGCTTCCTCTTTAAAATGATTTGTACTGTTAGCTTGGCAATACCTGCATCAGCAGCTCAACCATTTATAAAGAAACAACATACAAGGAAGGCTGAGCTGAGGAATGCAGATGTTTATGATAAGAAGGAACAAAAATATGTAAATCATTCCTAAGGCAAACAATTAATAAGAAAAATACATTTACTGTTAGTGAAAAATACAAATGGTAATCCATACTTCATGGAGCTATGGGCTTCTTTCATGGGGAGAATGGACTTAACATTCAATATTTTGACAATTTTAAGACAGCTGAAACTGTCATTTGCAGTCTGAACTTGGAATTCAGGAGTCCAGGGAAGGCAAGATCAGGAAATAAAGCCTTGTAATTGTTGTTTTCTTGGTGAATTTTATGGAACTCTGTTATGCAACTCATAAATATGAAGACTGCGTGAAAGTTTTTGAGGTGTTTCAGTTCACATAATATATATCCGAATTATTTTAATATTTGGAAGATTTAAAGTTAGCCAGAGGTTTGTGTCTGTGTAAGAAAAAAAAGTTAATACGAACAAAGCAAGCATAGGAAGAGAAAACTTCTTACTATGACTAGTAACCAGCTACTAGCTAGCACACTTCACTCCAGGCATGGAAGTTTATTCTGCGTTATGAAGAACTGATGGGACTTCTCCACATCACATTGACAATAGCAAAAATACTTAAAAAAAAATAAAAAAAATCATCCATCTGATCAAATGAAAACCTCTATACACAAAGCATTCACTGACTAAAGACATCTAAGTTCAACTTAAATTCTTCCATAGTAAGGTCTGAATTTGCAAAACAAGTGTAATTTAATATTCTTAATATTTATTGTAACTCAGTATTCTGTTGTTTTATTTTGTTATTAATTTAAAGATATTATGTGACAGACAAGTCACATTTAGTATGAAGGGGGAAGTTTCATTGCTACCATCTTTCCTTTTGTAAGCCAATCAAAATATTAATTTAAAATAAGCTGCGTAGGAGGTACAGAGTGAAAAAGGCATTTGAGACTTAAGACTATTTAGCACAAATTTCCTTTACAGTTTGAAGTTTGTCTTGAAATTTCTGGATCCTGGAATGATTGGTGCAGGCAGGCATCAAAGCCTTTAGTAGCAAATTACTGTCTCACAGAAAGACATTTTCAGCTTCTGCTCCAGCTGCTGATTAAAAAAAAAAAACCCAAGTCACATGTTCAGCTTGACTTCAGACAAGGGCAACCTGCTCTTTTATAACTTCTAGGGAAAAAAAAAGGAGTTGTTAGTAGTTATTAAAAATGGATATAATGATTTGGACATAGATCCTTCGTGAAGACGTGGATGGGCTTATGCTCGAAGTCCCAGAATTAGTCCAATGTATGCTCAAGGAAAATGTTCATTTTAAATGAAAAGTAAGAAACCTATTTGTTAAAGACAGGTACTGCAGCTCACTGCTGGACCCTGCTTTTTGCCTGACTGAAGGCAAAAGCCTCTTACAGTCTAAGTAAACAAAATGAAACAAATGAAGGATACATAATTACAGATTTCAATACCCTTCCCCAAAAATGAAAGGACCGCTGATAAATCCTGCAGCCATGGCAAAAGTTTCAAACAATTCTGAAATATGTAGGTCAGTTCCATTAAAAATCAAGTATCCTTGTTCAGGTTTTAGGAGAGTAACTGTTTAAGTATCAGTGAGCTCCTCTGAAATAGGCTAGAAATTAAGTTTCGCAGCAATGCAAGTTTATACGAGAAGGGAATTAGATTTGCTGTATTCCATCTCTTTCTGAACCGAACAGGAGGCACAAACCGACACTGAAAGTTTTGCCATGGACTGTCTCTACTTTCCAAACGACCGAGCGTTACCTCTCTGGCTTTTTGTGCTGCAAGTTCAGCTTGTCGCTGTCGCTCGAGTTCTTCGAGCAACTGTTTTTCCATGATGCGCTTAGCCTCCTCCACCCTGCGGAGAACCTCTCGCTCAATCTCATCCTTCCTTTTCTCCAACTCTTCTTCTACACGTTTAGCCACAAGCTCTTCCACTCTTCGAGCAGTTTCTTCCTCTATGAGTTTCTCTTCAATTTCTTGTTGACGACTACAAAATACAAACCGAAGGTTACCTTTTTAATCAATAAAGAATAGTTGCACTGAAACAAACTATTTCAAACACACAGCATCAGCCACACTACTGAATCACTTTCAAACATTACACGCACACAGATCATATATTTAATGAACGCTTTGGCCTACATTTAAGGATAAATGTAGGAATATTCAGGCAATCAGTGTTCCTACCACAGGGAACTTATTCGGACCATACCATCTTTAGCATCTCTCCATATCTCAAGACACTAAGCTTAAGATGACATCTTATCATACAACTTCTCGATCATTTTTAGGGGGGGGAAAAAAAAGAAAAGGAAAAAAAAAGAGACCCCACCCAACTTTGGCAATCCTTCACCCTTCAGGAATTTAAATGGTCTCAATTTTAAGCCACATGTAACAATAATATCTTGTAAAACCTTGTCTTAAAGACTCAGAAGCATCAAACTAATCTCTAATAACTAAAATAGATGACAGAAGCAGTAAAATTTGTAATTTGAATATTTTAACAACAATTCCAGGTGCTGTACCTGTAATCTAGTTATCCAATCATTTACCTTATCAAATTTCAAATACCTTGGCTCTCTGTAACTTTTTTATTGCAGCACTGTTTCTACTGTAATGATCCAAAATAAAATATACCGATGCCAAGTGTTAAATAAATCCTTGCAACCTTTACAGTCTTCCATGTTCTGAATTTCTGAAGGATTTTCAAATGTCGTCTTGTCTTTATTTTTGTTTAGCAGCAGCATTATCACTGAGCCTGATCACTGTTTTAAGTTTTCATTAAAAAGGATACAAAAAGATTATCTCAATTTGCAGGTTTATTACCAAATGAAGGAAAAAAAAAAATCTTCTGGGTAGTAAACACTAGTACAAAATGGCAATTAGATATCCAAAGACCAACAAAAGTGAATGCTGCATAGCTATGTTTCATAAAGTACTATTTATTTACAAATTTTATGGGCTTTGTGGAGAAGGTCATTCTTTTTAATCTTGAAATTGAACTTTCATTTTAAGCATTCTATGAGGTACGGAACAATCTTATAAACTTATCTTCTGGCCCGTCAGCACCAGAAATCCATGATTTAGAATAACAACCACTGTTGTAATATCCTAATATCCCATCATTTTCATAGTGTTTGCATTTTCTTATTTATCTTGAGAGATAAATCTTATTTATATGTACAGCCATAAAAACAACTTTTAAAAAATGTTACAAGATTTACTAACTTTTAGTTTTCTCAGTGTATAATTTGAAAACATGCAATAGGAGAGTAATAAAGTATCGATTACTGATCTAGATCAGAAGACAAATATTCTTACATTCCTGAAGAGATAGAAAAGTTATCCAGTGGCATATTAGGCCAGCATTCACTTTTCCTAAAATGACTCGAAATATCTTCAGGTAATTTTTTTCAGAAAAAAATAAAAGCCAAGACCATCACCATCCAGAAAAATGCATCAACCTCATCCTGTTAGCATGTCTCTGCCAAGTCACTACTACCTACGAACCTTTTTGGATGAAAGGTAGAGGAATCGTCAAAAGTTTAAAAGACTAGTTTTTTAAACACCCTTTATGTACTAAATACCCTTTTACTTTTAAAGGTTTTTCTTTCCTCTTACAGGTCTTTATTTAGCAGCAGGTACTCTCACTGTCCTGTACTGATACGGCTTAGCATACATAAGAGGCTGTTCTACAGAAACCGTTTTTCAGAAATCTCATATTCACATGTTTTATTCAACTATTTTAGCTTTACATTTAACATTGGAGAAATCGAGAACTGAAGTTAGCTAATTGAATAAAGATAGTACATAGTTACAAAAAAACCCACTGACACACGTCTGAAGTAAGTTTTCAAATATCCTCAGCAACTGATGATGTACTCAAATTAAGCACTGTGCCTGCACACCTTTCATTCTTCATAACCCAAACTCCATGTAAATTTATTTAAACCAAGCAAATATATATATTCATGTTTATAGGCAATGACAACATTACAAATATATAACAACTGTTCAGTGTCAGCAAGCACATTTCTTGAAACACTAGAAATAGAAGTGAAAAAGAATAAAGTAAAAATCTATTCTAATTCATAAGACCACCTTGTGCCTATGGATAAAAATAATATACTTCCAAACAATGACTTTGAGTTTATAAAGAAAATCAAATTACAGAGGTATACATCTCAATGATTTATTCTGTAGTTTATACCAACTATTCCTTGATTTTTTAAAATCTCATGAACTTACTGCATTTTATATACAAGTGTAAGCTTATCACCCTGACCTACTGAGCCATGACTCCAGTGAAACATGTAAGTCATTAATGTAAAAATATTTTTAGTATGTTCCATTTACTTCTTAAAGACTAATTTTAGAAATTCTGCAGAAAAGAAACTGCTTACATTTCAGCAGATTTTTGAGGAAAAAATAAGTGATATTTGCAAGGCCTTTATTAAAAAAAACCCTAGCATTACAGGAAAAAGCAGAAGTTAGTCTATGTATTAAGATCTCAACAGACATGAGAAGAAAGTCACTTTCAGTATATGAACTGTCCACTAGTTAATTCAGCCAGCAAGAGTTTCTTTCCTTCACTAACATGAGTATATAGTAACACATATAACACAATGAACAGATTATTTACTCAAATACCATAGTTGTGTTATTGCTTTTTCTTTCTGAAATGTAAAGTGTATTGCAGAAGCATCAAAATTCTATACCCAATCTTTTCCAGTATTGTTTCTCTCTCAGATGTTTACTATTGTTGCCAATATCACTCAAGTGTCATATTCCTTGTATACAGACTTCATGTGTTAAAATTTCAAAGCTAACATACAGAAAACTTACTGCAGAAAATAGAGTTGAAATATATGTTGCTACATCTAATATTATTGAACGAACTACAGTTCATTAAGTTTCAATTTGAGCACTCCACAGCAAAAAGTGATCAAATATTTTAGTTTTATCATTTAAAGATTATAAACACTTCATTTTCCACAGGCACTTGAACAGATTCTTTTGATTTTTAAAGCCTAGACACACACTAACCATAAAATTCTCTGCTAAGACTTAACACCGTTTAATATTTTAAGTTAGATAATACTTTGTTATTTGTGAAACGTGCTCTCTCTTCAATCTTTAAATCCCTTTACATAATAGTTAAAAGAATACACATGAACTAAAATAGCTCCAGAATACTAAGATAAACTATTCACTGTATTCTCTATTTGTTAAGCAAACTCCAATCCTTCTTCCTATATATGCACAGAATATTTTTATTAATTTAGGTACTGAATAAAACAATACACCACAAAATTAGGGTAAATAACTGAAAAAGCCTTCAACGTTTTCAGCTGTGTTTGTGTTACTATCAAAGTTTTTGATGACACTGCTGTCAAATTCTGAACTTAGCAAACGAGATTACCAAAAAACCAAAAATGAAAGTAACAACTCAGGGTGACCAAACCTTCTGAACTACAATATCTCATTATAACAATATCGCTGAAATAAAATTTAAAGGTCCACCTGAGAATCAACAGAACTAGTTGGCTTCACACATACAAACAAGTGCTATTTCTGGACTCAGTGCTCCAATAAGCAAGGCTACCATTCAAAGAAGAAGAATCAGTTTATGAGAACTGTGGAAACTGTTATCTCTGCCGCATAAAGGTCTCTTTCATAACTTAACAATATTGCTAGACATCCTAACACACATCCAATGTTTATTAAAATGGAATGTATCTATTTCTGTAGTCTTTATATATAACCACATTCCCCACAACTAAAATTGTAAAAGGTTTCAAATGAAACAAGTCACCGGATGTCACTGTCCCATTTAGCAAGAAAATAACTAATAAAAAACCCAAGCCAAAATAGTGTTAATATAATCGTTGCACAGTATTTCTGAAACCCTAAGCCCAGCAACTCCAGATGCCTCCGCTCCACGCCACAAAGGGGAGGGGCAGGCAGTGTGGCAGTGCAGCACAAAGCCTGCGGGGCGCGGAGGCCGCCGCCGCAGAGGGAAGTTTACGAGCAGCGCGGGAGAGCGGCGGCAGGTCGGAAG